TGAGTGTGTTTTTTGTGTTTGTAAAGTCTGGGCCCATTTTCTGGGAAGGTCGGCAGATGGTCTAGGTGGACACGCTGAGAGGGCCGCCGACCCGGGATCCTAGAAGAAGTTCTGGATCCCGCAGGGGGGGACAGAGTGCCCCATGGGGACGGGGTTCTCCATGAGTACGAGTCTGTGAGACTCCTGGGGGGACGGTGCGGGTCGCTCCCGCGGCACGGCGTGAGGCCGTCGTCCCATTTTCATTGCCTCCGATTGGGCAGAGGATGATTTTGTCTTGCCTTGTGCTTTTCTGTTGTGTTTATTTGTCTGTTTATTGTGTTGACTTGGACTGAGATGATGGGACAGACTGCGACTACTCCTCTTTCCCTCATGAAGGACCATTTCAAAAAAGTTAGAGAGCGCGCTCATAGTCTATGCTTAGAAATAAAAAAAATCTAGATTTGTCCTTCTGTATAGTTCAGAATGGCCTTCCTTTGGAAAGGGGTGACCCCCTGAGGGAACTTTTGATTTACAGGTTATACACAGGGTCCGTGTAGCTGTTTTCCGTCCCTACACCAGACATCCTGATCAAGTTCCCTACATTGTCACTTGGGAGAGTCTAATCTGCGACCCACCCCCATGGGTCAAGCCCTTTTTGCCTCCACAGAAACAGCAGCCTGAGGTAATCCTGACAGCCTGTGAAAAGATTCCCAGAGGGTGCGACAACAAAAGACAAACAGAAACTGAGCCGACCGCACGGCTTTACCCGGTCCTCCAAGGAGGGACCAAAAAAGATCTCATCCCCCCCTCCTTACTCTCTCTCTCTTCTCCCCCACGACAGCAGGCAAAAAGAAATGACCCAGCCCCAGCTGGAGCTGGGGAAGGAGGGCAGGCCCCGGGTGCTGGCAACCATGATGGCCCCACCCTAAATACTCACCACTGGCATGCCGCCTCGCCGCAGGCCCAGCAGACTCTACTGTTTGTCCACTGAGAGCGATAGCGCCCCCTGATGAGCAACACTGGGCCCATGTTAAGGCACAACTTCTGTCCACCCATCCCCCATGGCAAGTTAATTCCTTGGGCAGGAGAGAAGCTCTCCAAAACTACCATCAGCATCTCCTAGCTGGCTTGAGGGGAGCCCCTCAAAAGTGGAACCAATTTGAGCGAGGTAAACAAGGTCCTTCAAGGACCTGAGAAATCCCCTTCTGCCTTTCTGGAGCGTCTGTTAAAAGCATACCGTACATATACTCCAATTGACCCAGATGCCCCTGCAAATCAACAGGCAATTAATTTGGCTTTTGTTACTCAGTCAGCCCCAGATAGTTAAAAAAAAAAAACTGCAGCGGATAGAAGGATTTGAGGGAGAGAATAGAAAAAGTTGATGAGTGTGGCAATGAAGGTGTTTAACAATAGGTATCCTTTTGAGGATAGAATGGATAAAAAGATAAGGGCAAATATTGCAGCCTTGACAGATGGAGGTTTTATCCGAAAAAAATACAAAAAAAAATAAAAGAGAGGATAAAAGTAAAGTATGACCCTTGTTAGAAATGGATCAATGTGCATTTTGCAAAGAAAAGGGTCATTACAAGAGGGATTATGAAAAGTTGAAAAGAAAGAGAGAGAAGGAGACTAAGAAAGAAAGAGATGGGGTTCTTCTAGTAGATAAAAAAAAAAAAGATTGACGAGGCCAAGGTGGGGATCTACAAACACATCCACTGACCCCAGAAAGCCGGCATCTTGATCCCTTGCCAGTCAGCCTGGAATACACCCCTGCTTCCTGTGAGGAAGCCTGGCACCTTGGACTTCAGACTGGTACAGGATTTGCGGAAAGTAAACAGCCAGACTGACCCAGACACCGGAACAACTGGACAGCTGACATGGACCCGGCTGCCGCAGGGATTCAAAAACTCCCCCACTCTGTTCAGGGAAGCTCTCAGCAAAGATCTGCAAGAGGTAAGAAAAGTGTTTCCCCAGGCGACTATTCTTCAGTATGTTGATGACCTCCTGGTGTTGACTTCAAATGATAAGAAATGCATTCCAGCCACCGAGGGCCTCCTGAAAGCCCTCCAGGAATGGGGATATCAGGTGTCCTGGAAGAAAGCTCAACTCTGCCAGACCAAGGTAACCTACTTGGGCTATATTGTTGAAAAGGGAAAGAGGAGGCTGGCAGAATCGAGAATATCTGCAATTCTCCAGATTCCGAAGCCAGGCTCAAAGAAACAGATGTGAGTGTTCCTGATGGCAGTTGGCTATTGCAGGATTTGGATTCCTGGATTTGCTGAGGTTGCCAAACCCCTACATGAGGCTACTACGGGAGGAAATACACCCCTCGAATGGACTGAGGCTTGCCAGCAGACATTTCAATTGCTTAAGACTGCACTTGCATCGGCACCAGCCCTGGCATTGCCAGACTTAAACAAGCCCTTTACCTTGTATGTGACAGAGAAAAATGGGGTGGTTAAGGGAGTGATTACTCAGCTTTTTGGGCCATGAAAGCGGCCTGTAACATACCTCTCCAAAAAGCTCGACCCAGTGGCCCGAGGGTGGCCTAATTGAGGACAATAGCAGCAGCAGCTACTTTAACCCAAGAGGCTGACAAATTGACCTTTGGACAGGATTTAATTTTGATCACTCCCCATGCCACTGAGCCCTTGTTAAATAGCTCACCCAGCAAATGGCTGTCTAATGTCAGACTGTTACAATATCAAGGACTCTTATTGGAACAGCCACACATTGTTTGTCACCACCGCTGGCCTCAATCCGGCTACTCTACTCCCAAAATCTGATGAACAAATGCCCATCCATGATTGCCTTGAGACTCTTGAAAACTCGAGGGGAGGACGTCCAGACTTGATGGACCAGGCCCTCCCCCACACAGAGATAACGTTCTATACTGACGGGTGCAGTTTCGTTTGTGATGGTGTGCAGTATGCTGGAGCGGCGGTGGTCAACCAGGACCAACAGGTGGAATGGGAGCAGGGGCTACCTCAAGGGACATCAGCACAGAGGGCTGAGCTGATTGCTTTAACTAAGGCTCTGGAATTGAAAAAAAGAAAAAGGATAAATATATTCACTGATAGCCATTATGCTTTTGCCACCACCCATGTACATGGAGAGATTTATCATAACAGAGGGCTGCTAACCTCTGAAGAGAAGGGAATTAAAAATAAGACTGAGATATTGGCACTATTACAAGCCATCTGGTTGCCCTGAGAGGTTGCCATCATCCATTGCCGTGGGCACCAAAAGGGGTCAAGCCCCAAGGTGATTGGTAATAATGCTGCTGATCAGGCAGCCAGACAAGCTGCCCAAAAATCAGTGGGGAAGCAAATGGTTCTGCTTCCCACACCAGTACTCCTAGAAAAACCTGAATGTACAGACAAAGAGATAATAGAAATAAACAGGAGACACTGGACTCGAGGAAGACATGGGTGGTGGACGACTAAGGAGGGAAAGGTGGTGCTCCCAGCTGCTGTAGCAGACACGTTGCTGTGAGAACTACATGAGTCCACCCACCTCGGTGAAAAAAGGATGATGGCCGCCTTATGACCCCATTTCGTCAGCCAGGGATTAGCCCAAAAGGCCCAGGACATGGTGAGATGATGCCCCACATGCCTCAAGGTAAATGCTAATTGGGTAACTGGGCCCCCTGGGGTCCAACACAGAGGGCTGACTCCAAGAGAACATTGGGAATTAGACTTTACTGAAATAAAGCCGGACATGTATGGGTACAAATACCTGCTAGTTTTTGTGGATACATTTTCAAGATGGGTAAAAGCATACCCCACTAAAAAGAAGACAACAGAAGTAACAGTTAAAAGGCTCCTGACAGAAATAGTTCCCCATTTCGGTTTGCCCTTAGCTCTGGGGTCCGACAATGGTCCAGCCTTTACGGCTAAGGTATCTAAGTTAATTAGTAATATCCTTAAAATAAAGTGAAATCTACACTGTGCCTATAGGCCTCAGAGTTCAGGACAGGTAGAAAGAACAAATCAAACTTTAAAAAATATTCTGACTAAATTATGCTTGGAGACTGAACTAGATTGGGTAGAGCTTCTCCCCTTTGCCCTCCTCCGAATGAGGTGCACTCCCAAGCCCCCCTCAATCTGTACCCCTTCCAGATTGTTTACGGATGATCTCCCCCAATCATTCCATTAATAGATGTAAAATTAAAAAAAAATTTTCCCACCTTCGACTCCTTAAATCCTTAAAAACGGTTCATCAGCTTCAGTCAGAGCTACATGAGACATTACAAAAAAAAATGACTAGTCCAAATAAAAAAAACCTTTACAACCTTTACCCTATAAGCCGGGAGATTTGGTTTTAATTCGCAGGTTTGATTCCAAGACCCTGGAACGTCGTTAAAAGGGATCGGTTCCTGCTGTCCTGTCAGCTCCCTTGGCGGTAAAGGTGGCTAGACATTCTGCCTGGATACATCACAACCACCTAAAAGCCAAGACCCCCCATGGATGTCAAAAAGGACAAATAAAAGGTTATCAGCCAACCAGACAACCAAAAGCTAAGACTGGAATGGGTTAGAGATGTTTCACCTTAATGATAATATCTCTGGGACACTGACATTATTGCCCCCAAGAGGACTAGATCACACAAAAAAATGTATAGATTCAATTGACAAACTCACTTAACTTGTCTAAATTCTGCTTAAATGTTGATGTAAATTTCCATTATGTGCTGAGAATCTGTCTCATTCCGGTATGCACCTCTTTAAAATTAATGCGACCCTATACCCTATTTAAAGACATCCCCCCCCCCAAAATCTTACTTACCTGGATAGTTATAACTGGGGACATGACACCTGCCGTAAACCTAAAAATACTGTCAAATTATATACACCCAAGGTAATTATGTCAAACAAAACTAAATGTGCTATGTATGAAAATTGTACAACCAAATGTCTGAGGATAAAACAGTCAAAATAGATGTCCTGCCATATAAAACAAAAATTGTGTGTATCTCCCTGCCCACAAGATGGTTTTATACCTGTAAAAAAACCCCTTTAATTATATTCCAACAAATTTAACCAAGACCCGTTGCTGTTTGAGTCGTCTAGCTGTAGTGTTGCCAGAGTCTCGTTCATCAGAAAACACATTAATACTGTACCGCTGATGGTACTCAGGTCCCAATATGAGCCAGTCTCTACAGACCTAATAAAATTAACCCCCAGAGGCCCATGATTGGTCCTCTATAGCATCATGAGAAGGGGGGAATGTGAGACCAAAGTGACTCCATTTTGCTAAAATCCATCATTCCCCTAGCCTCTCAAATTAATGGTTAAAATGTGTTTGCTCTGGAACAAAAGATACAATCTGTAACAAGCCAAAGTTCCTAAGTTAATTACTCAGCCATCTGTTTACCCAGGAAATGAACATCCTGGGCCCACTATCTGTAGGAACCATCTGTCAATGTGCTGACTGTCAGTGCTGGGTGGTCATGACCATTAGTCACCATGTCTGCTGACCATCAATACGTGACAGTTGCTCACTAACCTTTGTCCTTCTTTTCTTTTGTAAAACCTATACATAGTCCCCCCTTACCCCTGATGAGTTCAGCCAATCAAAAATGTACACTTCATGCTCACTAAATGTTAACCAATCATGTAACTGCTAAGTAGAAAATCTCCAAACCTTGCTGTAACCTCTATAAAAACCCTGCTAATTTGGAACTCAGGGCTCTCAATCTCGATCTGCTGTGTCGGTGACAATTGAGAGTCCCTGCTTAAGCTTGAATAAACGACCCTCGTGTGTTTACATCGGAAACGGCCACCTGGAGGTTTTGGGGACTTCGCAATCTGGACACAACATTAGCATAAGAGTAAAGAATACCAGCAAGGGGACCACCACCCAACAGCACAGCTGCAAAATACATCACCATGTCATTAACAAAGGTGTCAGAACAGGCAAGTAGGACCAATTGATTAAGATCACATACAAAGTGTGGGATTTCCAAGTCTGTACAGAAGGATAGCCTTAACCCTGTTAAGGTTTGTAATAAGGAGTTTAAGGCAGCTGTGATCCAGGACCCCAGTACCAGATATCCACAGACCCTGAGGTTAATGATGACCATGTACTGCAGGGGATGACAGATGGCAACAAAGTGGTCATAGGCCATCACATCTAAGATGACATTGTCCAAAACCCCAAAGACTATAAAAAAGTATACTTGAGTGATGCAGCCTTCATAGGTGATGACCTTGCTTTGTATCTGAATGTTTACCAGCATCTTTGGAATGCTGGTAGATGTGAAACAGATGTCTGCAAAGGACAGGTTAGAGAGGAACAAGTACATAGGTGTGTGCAAGTGGGAGTCTGAGATTGTGGCCAGAATCATGAGCAGGTTTCCAAGCACAGTGACCAGGTACATGGACAGGAAGAGTCCAAAGAGGAAGGGTTGCAAGCTGGAGTCCTCTGAAATTCCCAGAAGAAGAAATTGGGAAGTCTGTGTTTCATTATGTGAAACATCTAGTTGGTATGACTAAGAGAAAAATAACGACACAATTATGGAATATTAATCTGACAGTAAAGCTATCATTCGTGTTCTCTTGTCCAGACTCTAAATGCTACATTTTGTTTATAAATCGGTTCCACTTAATGGGATCCCCTTGACATGACTGATTTAGAATTCTTGTCTCACTCTTATCTTTTTACAAGATAGTCTATATTAAAAATTCAAATTTCTTCATGACTTTGAGGAGAATAATTCAGTGATGGCCAAGTTTTGGGCATTGTCTACAGATGACTGATAAGTATTAAAAAACTGCATGTCCCTAAAATCAAACAAAGAAGTAATACATGAAAATTGAAGAAAATACAATTAAAGAAAGGAATAATCATATAATATAGTGGCAGGTAATATGAAGGGAAAAAAAGCAGTTAAAAAGAAAAATGTACATAATGGGTCTTATTTTGTACTAGGTGCTTAGGTAAGACAGGCAGATAGGTGACACTTGAAAAGAAACCTTCATAAAAAGAAAGAAGGATCCACAAAATCATTTCCAGAAGGTTGCAGCAGGCAGGGGAAAGGGCCACTGCAAAGGTCCTGAGAAAAGTACCTGTTTCAGGTGTTTAAGGTTAACAAGGAGCCGACATAACAAGAAGTGTAAGCAAGAAAGATAATGATATGGGATGGTATTTGAATAAAAAATAAAATGCCCTCATTGCTGCCAAAGAGTCAATAAACAAAAAGCCTCCCTGTCCAGATGTTATTGCATTTGCCATTTTAAGTTGACTTTAAGGACCTGTGAGAATTGAAAATCATTCCTGTTTATGTCAACTTGTTGTTTTATGATCTGGCTTCTGTATTATGAATTACATTTTACAACATATTGAACCCAGTTCCTGTTACTCTGAAGCTTGCTCTCTCCTATAAAGGCAAACACATACACAAGCACAAATACACGAGTGTACACATGCACACACACACACACAAAGCCTGCTTAAGAATGTATCACAATCCACAGTCTCCTAGTCCATGTTAACACTCTGTCCTCAATTTAACTCACACTATTTAAAAAGAATGGATACCAGGCAATGTATCAATATCAAATTATTTAATCTGAAAGTTTGTATGAGCTGTGCCCAGAAATTCCTGTTCATAAGTATCATACATATATCATAGGGGGTCTCAATTTTATTAGTAATATTCCCACCCCATGTTTACATACAACAATCTTCAGTGCACGTGGAGAGAGGTTCTAAGGGGAACTGAATGGTTCTAAGGGGCCAAGATTGTAAGAAAGTACAAACTTGTTTGTCAGTGTGTTCTAACTTTATATCTTCTGCAGGATATCCAAAAATTATAAATATGAGCAAATATAAGTTTATCAAAAGAAAAATCTAATGATGTCTTTTTGGTACCAAGACACATACAGATTACTAACCATAAAGTTTTTAAAAAGTCCACTAAAGAAGAATTAACCAAGGGATCAAAAAGGAACTCTACAAAGAACAACAGAATTTTAGTATGTGAAACATTAGAGAATTATTGTTGTACCACGCAACATGGCTTGAAGTAACTGGGAGATTTGCTTTTTTATTCACAGTTAACAATGGAACATATTTATGAGGCAATATTTGATATCTTAAAAACTGTACACATTGAGTAAATATCAAATCAAGATAGTTCATACGTCCATTATTTTTAACATTTTTCATGGTAATAAAAGCTTTTAAAGTTCACTTGTATATTTTGAAATTTATTATACATCACTGTTAACTATATTCACACTACTGTGTGATTGTCATCACCTAAACTTATTTTACCCACCTAATTGTACTTCTAAAGCTGATCAATATTTCCTCATCCATCCAATCCCTCATGAATTTTCACAGTATAGCAAATTGGCATTTGTCGTTCTGGGGAATTGACCAGAATAAAAAAATAAATCCAATTGGTTTATCTAAGATGAAAGCAGATGAAGCAAGCCTTTTTTTCAGTTGTTTTTGTGTGCTATGTGTTGTGTTATTCCTGGGCTTTCTGATTTAAAACGTTTTGGGGAAATTGCATGGGCAATGCACACCTGGTTGTGATCTTTATCCGACATCCACAAGTCAAGCCTCTTCAGACTATATTCAATAAAACCCTACAAGTCTGACATTTCATGCTGAATAAAGTCCTGAATAGAGCTGATCCCTGAGAGCATTACATGGCATGCATGTCCATTACACTATAGTGTGCCTTGACATTATGAAGCAAGGTCCAAATGAACAGGGGTTATGTTCTTTGTTTAGTTTTCTATTCTAATGGCAATATGTGAATATGTCCTTGTGACACAGAATGAAATTAAACAAAAGAAGAAATTGTGAAATAATTGGGCAAGGGAGTAAAACAGGTTGAAATAAGTTGTTTCAGAATAACTCTATTAAAAGATCGAAAAAAACATCAAGTACTAAGTGAAAGAAGTTACATAAAACAAATCATTCGATGTTATCTAAATTGAATAATAAAGTGGCAAAGATGTACATATAAAAATGTTTCATAAACAATTTTCTTTGAATGCTGTGGTCCAAAGTATATGCTGTTTGAATTTTTTGAATGAATCAGGAATTACACATCAGTATATAGGGATATGTAAAACAAGACAAGGATATATTTCCATTTAGGTGAAAAAGCCTGACTGGAAAAGAAAAGCTGGCATAAATGACTAACTGCAGAGGAGAAATTAATTGATACACTAGCTAAAATACCTTATGTCAAATCTGAAAAATTAAGCACTTTATTATGAAAGCAAACAGTATCACTTAGAGGAACATCAAAAATTATGTAAAGTTTATGTGTGAGAAAACTCGTCTTGTATAAGGCAAGAAACTTGGAGGTAAGAAAATAAAATATTTTACTAATATAATTTTAAAATTCTAGGGGCAAAAATACTCCAAAAGTAAATAGAGGGAAAAGTAAACTGGAAATTTCCATTGAAATGTGGACAAACATAGAAAATGGATAATAGACAATAAAAAACAAATCAAAATGATATTCCCAAGAAATGAACTCACTTCAGCCTGTGGTCCTCCAGGTTAATGTGTCATTTTTCTGTTCCACCTGGTTAACTGCAGAAGTCCTTAGGTATATGCTCTATCTATAATGAAATCATTTTAAGCTTCTCAATCCCTGTTCTACCTGAGCTGCTTCTGTCATCACTTAAGTGTCTACACTGAACCCTACTTTGCTGGTTTTAGTATTTCTCTTTTCAGAAAGGTAAATACTTATATCAATGTATTAATCAAACAAGCAAGTAAACAAGCAAAGCAGTATCTAAATTCTAGGCTAGGGTTAGCTGGCTCTCAGTACCTCAGTTAAAATTTTTTTGTCTTCCAGTCTCAGCTTTCCTGCTGCACCTACTGGGCTGAAGGACTCACCTGAATGGGTTTTGTGAAAGGAAGTCTCTGTATGTTTGTCCAAATTCTGCCTCAGTTAGTTTACTTGGAGAGTGAAGATATGCTGCCAAAACAACAGGAGAAAGAGGTCCAACTCTAGTACTTGAGTCAGAGGCCAGAATCCAGAGTAAATGACCACATCCTTCCCAGGCAAATGTCTCATGCACCAAAGGCCTAGGGAAGGAAGATATTTACAGGCCTTTGTGTGTGTGTTCTCTAGGTACATTACTCCCTTGTTAGTCCATCCTTGAGCACATAATTTCCCTATGGAATTTCCTCTCCACAAAGTAAATTTTTTGCAGATTTTCTGTTCCCGGGATGCCAAATTAAAAATCAGGTAAATCAGTCTTATTACTTCTTTTCCATGGACTATTCTGGCCTCAGTGATGCAAAACACTAACATGTAACCTCAGCCTTGAGCTAGTTATGTACAAAGTTTGACACTGAGAAACATGTCTTAAGTAGGTCTTTTGCATCACCAAAGGCATATCTTGTGTTGGGGACACAATCCCTATAACTCCAGGAAATGTACTATTCCTTTCTCCAACAAGGATTTCCACTCTGATCTCTCATATGAAAATGAGTACTACAATCCTTAGCTGTTTATATGTTTTCCTAAACAATTATAAGTAGCAGTAAGAACACAATTTTAAAACCTATCACTTCAACATCTACTTATAAAACATTTGATAATTAAAAGAGATCTACTGTATTTAGATACTTTATGAATATTTTCCTGAGATTAGTAACTTACAAAAATTCTTTTATTTGATTTTTTGTATTGGTACATATTTGTAGTATGGAATGATTTTACTCACTGTGGGAATATAATGTTCATATACAAAAATCAAAATTTCCTTTTTTATCTCATTTGCTTCCCTTCCTATCCCATTCCCTCTGGTTCTTGATTCCTTTCCTATATGGATATCATCCCATTTGTTGATTTTCACTATTATTTTCTATGCAACCAGAGTTCTGTTCAGAAAATATGGGCCTATGCCTTTTTCTTCAAGAGTTTTACCTATTTTATCTTCTGGCAGATTGTTTCTGTTTTAATGTTTGGATCTTTAATCCACTTTTATTTTAGTTTTGTACGTGGTGAGAGATATGGGTCTTGGTTCAACCTTCTGCATGTGGGTAACCAATTTTACAATTACCATTTATTACAGTTTTGGATCCCTTGTGAAAGATCAGGTAGCTGAGGATACCTGTAGATTTTTCTGCAATCTATTTTTTTCATGGATCCATATGTCTGTTTTTGTTTATTTGTTTTGTTTTTCTTTTGCCAGTACCACACTGTACTTTCTCACCGTATCTTTGTAGCATAACTTGAAGTCCAGGACTGTGATTCCCCCCACCTTGCTCTTCTTGCCCAGGATTACTATTTTATGTCTCATCTGTTCCAGATGAATTTTAGCATTGTTTTCTCTATTTCTGTGAGGAATACCATTGGTATTTTGATTGGTGTTGTGTTAATCTGTACATCAGTTCTGGAAGTATGACCATTTAAAATGTATCAGTTCTGACTACCCAGAAACAGGTGATATCTTTGTATTTTCTTAGAGTCTCTTTGATATTTTTCACATTAATGTTCTTTTTGCTGTGGTAATTTTATACCTTGTTGTTTAGGTTAATTCCTAAGAATTTGATTTTTCATCATGATATTGTGAATGATAGTTTCCTTAATTTCTTTCTCAGTGATTTTATTATTGGTGTACAACAATACTATTGGTTTTGTGTGCTGACTTTGTATCTTGCAATGGTACTGAATTTGGTTATTAGTTCTAGAAATCTTTTGGTGGAATTTTTTGTCTTTCATGGAGTGGATCATGTTACCTGCAAATAATGATAATTTGACTTTTCCCTTTTCTGTACATATCCCCTTTATTTCTTTCTACTAGCTTATTGCTCTATTGAGCAGGACTGATGAGAGAGACATCTTTGTATTGTTTTTTATTTTAGAGAGCAATCTTTCAGTTTCTCCCTTTTAAACATGAATTTGATTGTTGATTTGTCATAAATGGCTTTTATCA